AAATGATATAGCGCTTCCTTAGAAAGCTAGAAATAGAAATACCATACGATCCAGCAATCCCACTCCTAGGAATATATCCTAGAGAAATAAGTCATCACTCGAATAGACATATGCACACCCATGTTCATGGCAGCATTGTTCACAACAGCAAAAAGATGGAAACAACCTAGATGCCCATCAACAGATGAATGGATAAAAAGTAAGAGTTTAGGAAGTCATTTGGCACAAATGTGCATACTCAATTTAAATAATTTCAGATTCTTCTTGAACTTAGCGGTTTTACCTTTTTAGTGCACAAAGACCCAGCACATTTTCCAGCAATTAAGAAGCAGAAATATATATCTTTCAGAGTAAAGGCTAGTTGGCAGACTTAGGTGATTCATAAGGTAGACATATAGCATCAGTTAAATAAACATAATATAAGTGCTTATATACAAAACAAGTCAAACAAATATTTGATCAGTGGATTGTTCGCTAGTTTAATTCAGCTCCCTTACTGAAAACCATGTTTTATAACTCATGATTTAAGCACTAATTTTTTGTTGCGATAACTATAGATAAGTACTTCAAGTTCACGTAACTGATTACAAGGAACCCAAAAAAAGATACTATAAAAACTGCTTAGGGAAATTACTATTTATTTCTACAGAAAAATTGAGAGAATTCTGTTATTTTCAGTCACTACTAAACTTTCAGAAATAAGTAACAAAAGTGTTCAGAGTACTTCTGTAGTAATGTTTCAGAGTTCAGGCTCTGAGGTTACACAGCACACAGTTCAAATCCAGCCAAGTCACTTACTAGCTGCAAGACCATGGCTGACTTCCTTTGCTCTCCAAGCCTCTGTATCCTCCAGTAAAATGAAAAGATAGTACATATCACCCAGAATTGTTACAAGGATTGGTTGAGATAACATATATAAGTGTTGAGCATAATCAGTTACAGTGCCTGGGGTATGTCAGTTGCTCATCATCATGAGCATTCCACCTGATTACAGGTCAATTTAACCAGATAGGTAAATCAATACCATGGAAGTAATGTCTCTTGCAAGCTGGAATCAGAGCAGCAAGTGCCTCTGAATCCATACCATCTATTTTATTTTGTACCATTTGAGTTCACCTTAATCCTGATCTGAAGGCGTAAGAGAAAAGTAACTTGATAAATTAGTTGACTCTTTTAAATTGTTTGCAAGTAAAAAAAAAAATAAAACTAGTGATTAGAGGAACTTCCTTCCTATTTATGCATTGCTGCCCTTGTCACATTACACACTTAGAAAAATTAGTTTCTCTAAAATGGTATTTATGCCAAATGTTGTGCTTCTATAGAATTTACCAAATTTGAGTTCTTCTTTTGATGGCAATTTCATAGGAAGAGGTATCAGCTGATTATGTGTTCCACCATTTCCCAGTTGTCCTTCTTTTCCAGAACCAAAAGAAAAGACCTTTCCCAAATCAGAAACATAGGCAAGTGTGTGATACCTATTAAACAAAGAGCATAGAGTCAATTTTCAATAATCCACACTGATGCCAGTATGTAGCAATACGGTAAATTACCGAAATTAGGTTACCCAATGGGAGAGAAATAGTTAACCAACCGCCACTGGGTGTAATTAGCTATCTGGAAACCAATAAATTGTTAATCTATGGCTGAGCTGATTTTGGAACCACTATGTCTTTCATTGTTATACATAAGATCGCCATGAATTGGAGCAGAGTCGATGGCAACTAACAATGATGAAAAGGTCTACTCTAACTGAAAGGTTGGAGGTTTGACTCCACTCAGAGTTGCCTCAGAAGAAAGGTTTGGTGATTTACTTAAGAAAAACAGCCATTGAAAAAACCCTGTGGTGCACAGTTCTACTCTGACACACCTGGGAACGCCATAAGTATGAGCTGACTCTACTGGCAAATGGTGATCTAAGTCTACCCAAGGCTTTTTCATGATGCTGCAAATGGTGTTCCCTCTGTCAGGAACAATCATTTCCTCTTGCCTTCTGCTCTTTTCTCAAGTCTCAGCTTGAGAGTCACTACCTCTTGGAAACCATCCTTGAATCCCTCCTCTCCTCATGCTAGAAGATTAAATTAGGTGACCCTCTCTGAGCTCCCACTTGATTTTCCAAAGGCCTTCATTACATTGATTTTCTTACTGATTTACTTGTTGGTCTTTCCCACTACACTGGGAATTCCTGAAAGCAGAGACTGTGAGTTATGTCTCTATTCTCATGGCTTAGCACAGCATCTGACTTTTAGCACATACTAACTTTGTTGCTTAAATGAAGGTGACCAGGTTTAGACTCAGAGCTTGAATATGATTATAACTAGAAAGTTTTAAACCCAATCAATTTCACTGCACCTTAACTAAAGGAGTAACACGTTAACAGAGGTGGGCTATTGACACAGTATCAAGTAACATATTATCACATCTAGACAAGCAGAGTTCTAAGTGCTAGCAACAGGCAATGTTTTGAATTCCCAGCCTAAACAGACACTGAATCTGGCGAGGGTGAATGTGGCATGAGGCAGGGGTAGTTATTCAAACTATAGCACACAATTTAAGATTAAGTCAGTTTCCCAAGTTCCCTAGACTAGGGGTGCAACCACGTTGGTCAATAGAAAAAAAACTATTCCTCGCTAATATGGCTACCTGGATACTAGATTATACTAGTTTCTTGGTAGTTTGGTTAATATAAACCATTCCTTTAGAAATGGCTCAACTGCAGGTGCTGTGAAAACACTGAGTTTCTGGATCAGTAAAGATGAGCATCACCACCTGAAGTATGCTTAACCTTACACAGAGACTGCCAACTCTCTCCATGTAAGGTGACGGGGGTACCCGGTAAATGTTCCTGAAGTAGAGTTTCTCAGACTGGGGCACAAGAGCTATCACTTTATTTGCTCCTTGGAAAATGATAAACACACTTTTTTTTTTTTTTTGTAATAGAAAAAACAGGCATATTTTGGGGTAATGTGAAAAATTGGAATTTTTAAATGATAATCAAGAGACTCCAAAGGAATGGGAAGATTTAGGTGGATGGCTCCAAGCAATTCCACAGGGGACTCAGCCATTCTTCTGTGTCAGTAGGAGGTATTGCCCAGGTTTGCATCTCTAACATCTCTAACTTGGCTCTTTCTCTTGTAATACAAGTTATTCAAAGTAATGTGTGTTAAGAAGAATCACAAAGTGATGATAACGTTTCTTTGGTTAATGCAGAGATGTAGAACACAGAGAATCATACCATTCCCAAAATCTAATATTGTCTAATATTATCCGTTTATGTCATTTTACTCCATGATCATAAGAGAGTATGTATGACATGCTACTGACTGATTTTTTTTATACTAAGGGTGAACCCAATATTCAGGTAGAGTATGGATTTGCTTGTGTTTAGTGAGGTGAAAACTGCCCACAGGAAGAAGTGTATTAACCCTATCAAGACCCAACATCCCACTGGTGAGCAGTAGACTGATGAATCTAAACATCAAAGAAGAAAATAATTAAGTAAACCAAGGAATTGGAGCAAGTTTTTTGTTTTGTTTCACTTAAAAAAATATCTGTGAAAAGTAAATTCCATTTAAACCACCAATGACTTTGTCTTGTACTTCACCATGATCAGAGCAGGTCATTCTGGAAGAATTATGGTAACTAAAAAGTATGTAGGCCCGGAGGAGTTGTGAGAGAAGATGATTGCATCAATGAATAATCCTTTGTGATTGGTGTTCATTTATTACCCCTCCCCCAAAATAATACACAAATACTTATTTTTTTTAAAAATAAAGGTGTATCATAAAAGTTACCAAGGTATTTCATTAAAAGGGCAACATAAAGTTAATTGTATTTCCTCACTTAAAAAAAGCAATGAAAAGGAACATGTTTACTAAGATTAAGATTTATTATGATTATCTAATGTAAATTAAGCTTTTCACCCATTTGATAATGTTTGATACTTGTATCTCAGTCAAAGAAACTGATGGACATTTTATTAAATTATCTATTTAAATGTATTGTATTGATTTTGTCAATTTTTGTTGACACTTTACAACTTACCTTCCACATGCTATCTGGGTCACTCTATTCCCAATGAGCTCAGTCACCAAACGGGGCCTTGGCTCATTCTGTGCTGAATTGTGGCCAAGTTGCCCATATTTTCCAGCACCAAAAGTAAACACCAGCCCATCCTAAAGAAAGAAAACTTCATATCAGATTCTAGAGAAGTGATACAGAAGTAACAGCCTCTGCATTAGTGAATAATTAATAAAAGCCTTGTCAAAGTAAAGCCCCCAAATTATCAGGAGAAGTCCTGCACATCAGAAGTGACCTTTCTTCTCTGGTAAACACTAACTCTCCATACCTCGATGACCTAGTGCTTTCCCCACAACAAAGTATTTTTTGCAGAATGACAGAAAGACACAAGTTACACCCACCTTTGTGAGCAGAGCAGTGTGAGAGCCACCACAAGTGAGAAATTCAACATCCTGATTATCTAGTTCTTCAATAAGAGAAGGACAATCTTTATCTATGCAAGGGAAAGAATAGTTGAAGTGACCAAAAATACATGCTGAGTTTCACAGTAGAGTTACATGCTACTGGTAAAACACCTGTACTGCTACCTCTCAATCCAGCAATAACAGCTGTCGTCACCTTCAGATAAGAAAGGCTCTATGTTGGCATATTTAGGCCCAAGTTCTAGGCCTAAAGGTGGGGGTGGGGCAGAGGTTGACAGTGCCATACTTGGAAGAGCCCACCAGACAAAAGGTCAAGCCACTTCCCAGAGCCTGTTCTATTTCAACCTGACTTGATTAACTCTAATTGCAGCATATTTTATATTTCCAATTTTCATTAAGAATTACCTTTTTTTACACTACCTCTTCTTTCCTTCAGGATTATTTTCCTTTTACGAGACTCTGTAAAAATAGCTGAACTGCCCCTTTGTTCCTTTCTCTTCTTTAACAATTGATCTAACACTGATGCATGGGTTACCCTGTGTAACTAGCACTGGACCATGTTAATGAGAAATGCAGTGTCTGACCAATGAGCAGGGGATGACATGTTTATTATCATAGCTGGGTATATCAGCAGAGTTTATTACACCTGAAAACTCTAAAAAGTCATTTGGAATCATGAGAAATTTTGTCATCTGCCTTGTAGAGGTAGCTTAATAACAGGAATCAATATAACTATATTGAGAGACATTTAAGTGCAAACGCACCTTGGAGATCATCTTGTCTAAACTTGTCACTTCACAGGAAACAAACAAAAATTGGTCTAGACAACCAGTAAGTGAGTTGGCAAGGCCCTGCAGTTATTAAGCCCCTGTATTCTGATCCCCAGTCCAATGCTCCTTCCCCTTCCCCCACATACCCCTGAAATGTGCCTCAGTTACATAACAACTTCCACACTATGCATCAGCCTCTTGGACTGATTCTGCCTTAAAGACATAGAGATAATCATGTAGAACCATGCATATGAAAAGTGAGGATTTGAATCATTTTTGATATGGAGATCTATGTTAAATTCATCTCTTATGTAACAAATATATTTAGTGATAATATGAATTTGAAAATATATTTCCATACTGTTGGTGTGGCCCAGGCCTAGTTGCCCAAAATCGTTTTTTCCCCAGGAGTAAATATTTCCGGACATGGATAAGGCCATGCTGTGTGCTTCTCCTGCAGATATCTGAGCCAAGGGGACTCCTGAGAGATGTGCCACAATCTGTGGTGTAGGGGTTGAGTCAACTATTCTTCCAACACCGAGTTGGCCGTGTAAGTTCTGCCCCCAGGCAAAAAGCTCACCACCTTGACAAAAATAAACAAAGAAAATGCTCATTTATTAAGTTTAAAATGCAGCAGACGTTACCCTAGGGTATTATAATGTCAAAATATCTTATGCTCAAATAACAGAACTCTCAGATCCCATATATCTGATTAGGAAAACATAGAAGAATCTTCTCTTCAACTGTACAGTTATACCTAATTCTTATCTATCACCCTAAAGGGTAGGCTAAAGTGATTCATACGTATTGCAATCAAATTCAAGAAAAAAAAAGTTTTTTAAACCCACAGGATGGGGTCATGAAAAAAAGAAACATGCTACATCTGGGAAAATATAACCTAGAGCTATTATTTTCTCTATTCCCCTTTTATGTGCCTAAAGATCACAAACAACTTGAAAATCCATTTGAAATTACAGCACAGTATCTTGAAAGAGTCAGCTTCATCTATTAAGTGAATATATACGGAACAGATTGTTAAAAAGATACTTAGATGTTATGTAATGGAGTTGAAAATATCTCATGGAGTCTGAAAAATGTATTAGAGAATTAACGTTTGCAAAACATCTCTTTGCAAGATACTGTGCAGGATCTGGTAGAAGGCAGAGCCTTTCCTTCAAACATGACTACTACTTTGTTTACCAGCCACCAAGGTTCCTTCCTAGGTGGTGCAAATGGTTTACACTCAACTAACCTAAAGGTTAGCAGTCTGAACCCACCCAGAGGTGCTGTGGAAGAAAGTCCTGGTGATCAATTTCCATAAAAATCATAGCCAAGAAAGCCCTATGGCACAGTTTTACTTTGTTTTAACACATGGGATCACTATGAGTCAGAAGTGACTTGATGGCAACAGGTTTGAGTTTTTTAAAAATTCACCAGTCAACAGGAATATACGTAGTGATGCGCATGATCAGTTTCCTTCCTTCTTTCACCAACTTTTATTCTTCCCAGATTGTACTTTACCAGTAATAAACTTTGAGCACCCCATTCTTCCTTCTGACCTCACACCCTCCACTAGACCACGGGCTTCTTGAAGGCAGGGTATGTCTGTTTCATCTTAATATTCTGAACATGGTAGCTACTCAATATGAAATTCTTATTCATGAATGGATAAAGTCAAACAGACAATTTTTTCCAATACAAATTCACTCTCTTAAACCTCAATGGGATTTTCAGTGGTCAAATATTTGCTTATTTACTCCCCCCTAAGTAATGTCCTGGTGGCACAGTGGTTAAGAGCTATGGCAAGCTATGGCTGCTAACCAAGAAGTCAGCAGTTCGAATCCACCAGCCACTCCTTGGAAATCCTATGGAGGCAGTTCTACTTTGTCCTATAGGTCACTATAAGTTGGAATCGACTTGATGGCAATGGGTTTCGGTTTGGGTAAGGAATGCCAAGGTGGTGGTGCAAATGGTTAACACACTCAGCTGCTAATCAAAAGCTTGGAGGTTTGGGTCCACCCACAGGTGCCTCCAAAGAAAGGCCCAGTGATCTACATGCAAAAAATCAACCACTGATAACCCTATAGAGTACAGTTCTACTCCGACACACATGGGATTGCCATGAGTCAGAACAGACTTGACAGCAACTGCTGGTGCTGGTAGAATCCCAGCTACCATTCATTTTATAAACATGTTCATGCCTGTCCTATATATTTTAAAAAATTCCTTAACCCTGAATTCCCCTCTATCAACCTCTTAATTATTCTTTTCACAGTCAAGTTTCTTTAGGGCTCAGGTTTTTGTTTTTGTTTTTTTAATTTACCATTTCTCACTATTATGGTGTCTGATATAAAATAGGAAATAATAAAGGACTTGGGAGAATCCTTGAATTCAAAAGGTAATTGTTAAAATACATCACAGGCTGACCTGGGGGATTCCGAGCACCTGCCATGGGAGTTGGAGGAGCATTAGGAAAAGGGAAGAAGGTTCTAGAAAAGGGTGGCCCAGGCCTGGTCCTCATTCCAGAGAGAATGATTCTGATTATTCAGAAAATTTTCACTGTTTCCTATTTGAAAAATAGAGATGGAACAAAATGTATGCATAATGATTATGGAAACTTGAAGATTTTACAGGTCTAATATTTCTCTTATTTTGTATCTCCTTCAATAGTGCTCCAAACCATATCAAATTCAAAACCATACTTCTATCCTGTTACAAGGTGAAATACATACATTCTACTAACTCCACATAGACACATGCTAGTCACTACCTGTAAAAAACAGTTATTATTCCAGAAAAGTACCTTTGGAGAGTGCAAGAGAATGATAATCTCCACATGCGATTTGAATTATAATTGTTGCTTGTAAAACACATTGAAACCTGAAGAAAGAAAATATTTTGTCAGTCACCAAAATGAAAGTCGCAGTTATCAAAGTTAAAACTATTAAATGCATTTAATTAGGATTGAAGCTCAAGAAAAAATTTACATATACTGCCTCACATTCATACATCAAAAATTATTATTAAAAATAAAATAATTATTATAAAAAATTATATGTTTCAATTGATGGAAAATAATATTCATTATATAACTGTAATAAAATGATTCTAGAAGAGTCTTGCAAACATTAACTTTATGATGTAGTAATAATGCAAAATGAAAATAAATTCTAATTCATGTAATCTACAAGGAAAATCTCATAAATTATTCCATGATAATGCATTTTTTTCCTTCTAAGCTGAAAAAAAAAACCACTTTTATTTTTTGAAACCTAACTTCCAGAATTATTGTGAGAATCAAATGAGTTAATGACAGTGGAAGTCTAATTTGGGGCTAGGTGGACTAACCAATCATTTCCTTTAGTTGCCGAAACAACACGGGATACCTGCCTAGTAGACATAAAATGGTTTGCAGATTACTAATGGATTTCACTAGTCAGTTTAGAATCCACCGTTTACTTAAGATGCTGCTATATAAGGCAGGGGACAGGATAATATATAATAACATCTTCCTGCAAAAATTATTACTATTATTGCCCTCTGAGTAAAACTAAAAATTTTTTTTTCTCCTGCTATTAGCCCTTCTCAGACTCTGCTTTTACTTTTTTTTTTTTTAAATAATATATTAATGTGTTTTTGGTGAAGGTTTACATAGCAGTTTAGGTTCCCATTCAACAGTTTCTACACAGGCTGTTTGGTGACATTGGTTACATTCTTCACAATGTGTGAATATTCTATTATTTCCATTCTGGTTGTTCCATTTAAAATAATTTTTAATAAAATAAAAGGAGCTCCTTACCTTGCATGCTGAATACTGTAGTTGTACTCAAATGGTTTTCCATCTGAGGATAGAATCAGCATGTGCTCTGCTCCTTGGTCCATGGAATGTATCTTCATTTTTCCTTCTAATTTAATATACTCTGAAGAGCAAATCCAACCAGGAACTATCATCACTTTGATTATTACCCACTATTATTATTGATTCCATTATAATACACTTAAAACACCTGGAAAATTTTCAGCTAGACAACATTTGACTTAACATGAATTTATCTTCACGGAAATCCAAGTATGAGAAGCATACAAACTAATACTGATTATTGTATTGACAAAGGATTTTTTTCAATTTGGGGAAGCATTGATTCATACTTTGCTTTAAATGGGATATACCCTTAATGTAGTAAATCGGTTATTTGCTTTTAATTTCTCATTTAATTAGCTGGAATGGAGAAATCTAAATCTGACATGATAGAAACAAAAAGATCTACAAGTAAACATAACTTAATTCAGGGCAACATAACTCACATATACATTTCAGGGACAAATATACTATGTATTCTGAGATAGTTTCTTTTAAAAAACAAATGTAATAAACCCTCTTGACTGCTTCAACTAGATGTCAAGGATTATATTCTTAAAAGGTATGATTGTGCTTAGGGGGCTATTTTAAAGGGGATGCTATAGAAAATGTATTAGTGGATATTTAGCCCTTTCTAAAAATTAAGAGATTTGAAACTTTCCACTAGTTACTATTTACTCTCATCTCATTTAATTTGTTCTCAGAAATTAAACCAAGATAGTTTTGGAGCTTTTTTTCACTTTTCAGTTCTAATAAAATAGCATCCATTAATGTAAAACCCCAAAGCACAAGCCACTTCATATTACAAATGTGAGGGGGACCAAAACAGTTTCATAATAAAGAAGAAACGGTCAACAGACTAAAGTTTTCTAGAAACTCAGCATTTCAAATTAGTTGAAAGAAGAGTTACTCAAGAAATAGTATTGAGATATTCAGCTGGCCAGTTGGAAAATAAATAAACCTAGACCCCCATCTCACTGCTTAAATCAAAATATATTCCAAATGTATCAAAAATTTTAACTTTAAAAATAAAACCTTAAGATTACCATAAAATATAGGTACAGTAAAAAAAATCTTCATGTGTGGACAGCCTTGTAACTTAACACAAAATCCACAAGTCTTAAAAGCAAAGATTGACAAAGCTGACTATATAAAAATTTAAATTGTACACAACAAAAATAACATCAACAAAAAGGTATGCCTGGAAAAATATTACAACATATATGACAAATAAAGGCTGAACTTAGTCAACATTCAAATCAATGTTTAAAATAAATAAGAAAAAAGATGAACAGCTCAATTTTTTAAAAGCTAGGCGAAGATATGAACAGGTAGTTTACCAAAAAAGGAATGTCAATGACCAATGAAGAAATGAAAAGATGCTCAATTTCACTCTAAATGCAAAACAAACAGGAAGATAGTATTTTTTCAAAGATGCCAATTGGGCAAAATTTCAAAGATTAAGAAAGTGGGTTTTGTGCATGTATGATCAATTTGATTTTAGACAAGAGTGCTAAGTCCATCCAATGGGGAAAGACTCCTCTCTTTGATAAATGGTGATGGGACAACTGATTTCCACAAGCAAAAGAATGAACCCGGACCCATACCGCACACCATATACAAAAACTAACTCAAAATGTATCAAAGACCTAAATGTAAGATCTGAAACCATAAAACTCTTAGAAGAAAGCGGGTATTTCCTTTTCTCCATCTGTAAAATTGGAGCCCTGGTGGCTTAAGAGCTCGGCTGCTAACCAAAAGGTCAACAGTTCGGATCCACCAACTGCTCCTTGAAAACCCTATGGGGCAGTTCTATCTGTCCTATTGGATAGCTATGAGTCCGGATTGACTCGAGGCAACGGGTTTGGTTTCTTTTATCTGTAAAATCAAGAAGCCCTGGTGGCGCAGTGGTTAAGTAACCAAAAGATCAGCTGGTCGAACCCTCCAGCCGCTCTGAGGGAGAAAAATGTGGCCGTCAGCTTCCCTAAGCCTTGGAAACCCTATGGGGCAGTTCTACTGTCCTACAAGGTCGTTTTGAGTCAGAACCCATCCCCTCAAGGCACACAACTACCTGTAAAATCGGAATCACAGTACCTGACTTTATCCCTGCAGAGACACGATTTCAGAGAAGTGCAACCGAAAGCACTTTAAATTGTTCGCAAATGTAATATAATTGAGAACAGTTAACTATATTCTCAAAGGCTCACAAAATCAACGCAGGCATGTCCTAAAAAGGAGTTGGGGTGGGGAGGGGGACTCTAAAAAGAAACATTACAGAGGAACACTGGCTAAGATGAAGATGCTGCCTGCATACTCGCTCCCTCCGCATCTCATCATTTTACAGGTGGGATGATCTATTTCTCGACAACATTCTGCAAACCCTGCGCAAACTGGGAACAGGGATAAAGGAGAGCTCTGGTGCGCTGCACCTGCGAAACGGGAAAACAGCCCGAGCCCGGCACGTTTCTGTGGGAACGCGGACCGCTGTAGCGCCTGGTCCCCTTCTGAGCTCACATTCCCGCTTAGAGAAGAATAGCACCTCACACCCCAACTCCGGACACTTTAAAAAGAAGGGTCTGCGCCGGCCCCAGCCCAGGCAGGCGCTGAGGCACAGTCCCTCAGCCGCTCACCCTGCACACCCCCAACCCGATGCTGGAAGGCCGAGCGGCGCTGACCGCCCCACTCACTGGGCTTCCGGGCGCCGTGGCTCCCCGCCCGCAGCTCGTGAATCTCGACGCCGGCCTCGCCGCAAGTCAGCACCGCCAGGCGCTCCCGCGTACAGCAGATCTGGCGCATCTTCTTGGATCTCCGGAAAAACGCGCTGCGGAGGTCCGCTGGGCTGGGGAAGAGCCAGAGGTGCGCGTCCCTCGGCTCCGGGGAGGCTGCGGAGCGGGGAACACCCGGGCGCAACGCAGGATTTGGCCTAGGCGCCGAGCGCGCGTGGCCCCGCGACCTCCTTCGTGGCGTCTGCTCCATCGCATCCGCCGCCGGTCTCCGGGGCTCCACAAACGCGCCTCCGTTCTCTTGACCCTGAGGGAAAACGGAGCTGCAGCCGCCAACGGGTCAAAGGAAAGAGGAAGATGAACAACGTCTGCGTAGGTCCACTGCCTTCAGGGGTCGCAGTGCAGAGCAGGGGCTTGCGGGCGACTTCGAGGGACCGCAGCCTTCCACTCTGTCCCTGCCCAGTTGCTAGCCTTTCAACCTGCTGTTTGGGGGCGGGGCCGCCATTCAGGGGAAATGGAAACTGATTTTGTAAGAGTGCAGAATCGAAACGGAAAAGGAAAGAGAAACTCAAGCGATTCAACACTGGCTTGGTAGGCAACCGAAGAAAACCAAGTCTTTGGCAGGTTATGAAGTGGGTAGACAGGAGTGAAAAGGTGTCCTCGGGCGAGCAGTGGTCACCTAAACTCCTGGACTGAGTAGCCTTGGAAGAAACACTGCAATTCCACTAGGAGGCGTCCGTCACGGGCCATTTTCCAGAGAATATTGTGATAAAGGAATTTAAAGTTTATCAAGCGTTCTGTTCCACAGGATAGCGATTAAGCTGAATAAGAGTTATCAGTCAGTCCGTCCCTTCACACCTTGGTGCCTGGTACCAGTGATCTGCTTTCTGTCAATACAGGTTTTTGTTTTTTTTTAAATGGTTTGATTTTTTTTTTATTGTAATAAATATATACATAACAAATCATTTGCAGTTTCAACATTCTTCACGTGTACAATTCAGTGCCATGAGTTATGTTTATGATGTTATTCAACCATTACCATTATCCATGTCCAAATTTCCCCATCACCTTTAGCAGAAACTCAGTATTCCCTAAGCGGTGAATTCCCCTTTTCCCCTCCCCCTCCCCCACAGCCTCTAATAAACTTTGGCCTCTATACACTTCAGTCAACATAGTTTTACCTTTTCTAGAATTTCGTATAAATAGAATTATACAGTATGTTGTCCTTTGTGTCTGGCTTTCTTCACTTAGCATAACGGTTTTGAGATTAATCCTGTTTTTTTTTTTTTTTAATTAGTAATTCCCTCTACTTATTGCTGAGTGATATTCCATTATATGGTATATGTCTTAGTTATCTAGTGCAGCTATATCAGAAATACCACAAGTGGATAGCTTTAACAAACAGAAATTTATTTTCTCACTGTTTAGGAGGCTGAAGCCTGACCTCAGAGCACCAGCTCTAGGGGAAGGCTTTCTCTCTGTGTCAGCTCTGGGGGAAGGTCCTTGTCTCTTCAGCTTGTTTCCTGGTTCCTCGGAGATCTCCATATGGCTTGGCATCTATCTTCCCCCACCTCTGCTTGCTAGCTTGCTTGTTTAATCTCTTTTATATCTCGAAAGAGATTTACTCAAGATACACCTTGTACTAATCCTGCCTCATTAACATAACAAAGACAACACATTCTCAAATCAGATTATAACCACAGGCATAAAGGTTAGAATTTACAACACATATTTTGGAGGAGGACACAATTCCATCTATAACATTCCATCCTTTGCCCCCCTAAATTCATGTCCTTGCCACATGCAAAACACAGTCATCTCATTACATTCATCCCAAAAAGTATTAAATCAACTCCAAGTCCACAATCTCATCTTCTGAATCATAAATCAAATATGGGTGTATTCCATTCTGCAGCAAAATTCCTCTTCATCTGTGAATCTATGAAATCTAGGCTACAAGTTATGTGTTTCCAAAGTGCGATGGTGGAACAGGCACTATGTAGACATTTCCAACACAAATGGGAGAAATTGGAGGGAAAGAAGGGATATGTTGCCTCCAAAATCCAAAGAGGCCCACCAGGCATTGTGCCTCCTTTTTAGTTGTAGGAGGGCCCAGATGTAACGACTTACCCTTCACTTTAGAAGGGCTATCTTGACATGCCCCATAACACTGGCCTCCTAGAAATTTCACTGAGGTGGAAAGTGCCTGAATTTTTGTGGGATTAATATCTCACCCTCTAGTATGCAAATGTTTTACCATTAAGTTGAGTCATTTACACTTCTTCCTTACTGGATCCAATCAGCTTAGTGTCATCAATGAAATTGACCAGCGTGACATCTTGTGGAAGGGGAAAGGCAATGAAGATCCTTGTGGACTAAATTATGACATAGGGCTGGAGAGTTGATATACCTCTGTGGTAGGATATTAAATGTGTATTGCTGGCCTTGCTAGCTGAAGGCAAACTGCTTCTGGTGGCCCTTTGAAATTGGAATTGATAAAAAGGCATTGGCCAGATCAATAGCTGCATACCAGGTACGAGGAAATGTATTAATTTGCTCAAGCAATGAAACCACATCTGGAACAGCAGCAGCAATTGGAGTCACTACCTGGTTAAGTTTATCATAATCCACTGTCATTCTGCAAGATCCATCTGTTTTTTGCACAGGACAAATACGCTAGTTGAATGGGGATGTGGTGGGAATCACTACCCCTACATCCTTCAAGTCACTGATGGTGGCACTAATCTCTGCCATCCCTCCAGGAATGTGGTATTGCTTTTGGTTTACTATTTTCCTATGTAGAAGCAGTTCTAATGGCTTCCACTTGGCTTTTCCTATCATAATTGTCCTTACTCTACTTATTAGGGGTCCAATGTGGGGGTTCTGCCAGTTGCTGAGTGTATCTATTTCATTATGCATTCTGAAACTGGAGAAATCACTACAGGATGGGTTTAGGGACTTACTGAACCCACTGTGAGATGAACCTGAACTAAGAGTCCATTAATAACCTGACGTCCATACAACCCCCACTCTGACTGGTGGGCCACAGTGACTTTTTGAGTCTCCTGGAATTAGTATCAGTTCAGAGCCAGTATCCAATAATCCCCCAAAAGTATGATTATTTCCTTTTCCCCAATGAACAGTCAGTCTCATAAAAGGCTGTAGCCGCCTTTGGGGAAGGCTGGGAGAAAGATTAACAATATTGGCTGGTGTGATTGACCCTGACTACCTACAGGGTCACTATGAGTCAGAATCGACTCACGGCAATGGGTTTGGTTTTTCTTTTTTCAGTTACCAAGGGGAAATTGGATTGATGTTGCATAATGGAGGTAAAGAAAGAGTATATCTGTAACACAGGAGATCCCTTAGGATGTCTCTTAGTACTACCACACTCTGTGATTAAAGTCAATGGAAAACTATAGCAACTCAATTCCAACATGACTACTAATGACCCAGACCCTTCAGGAATGAGGGTTGGGTCACCCCACGAGGCAAAAACCATGACCAACTGAGGTGTTTGATGAGGTTAAAGGGAATATGGAATGGGTGGTGGAAGAAAGTAGTTCTAAATACTGGTTACAACTACATGAACAGTTGCAGAAACAAGTACTATTATTGTTATGAGTATCTTCCTTATTTTATTATATGTGTATGGGTGTATATATACGTATGTATATACGCATATGTATATATATAGCGATTATTTTTGCTTTCTTTCCTCCCTTATAAAATATAAGATGTGAACAGGTCTAATGCATTTTTGGTTTTACACGAGTTAGTTGTATCATGTTAGGCGCAAGTATGACTTTGTAGTTGTCTTTATTTAGAGATTGTGTATGGTTTAAGGAGCTGTGTACAGGGGCCAAATTGACAAGAGGTAGACTATGATGATTAAGGTTGTGTGTCAACTTAGCTGAGCCATGATTCTCAGTGGTTTGGCAATTATGTAATGATGTAGTTTGGCAGCTATGTAATGATGTAGTCATCCTCCATGTGATCTGATGTGGTCAGCCAATCAGTTGTAAGGGGAGTTTCCTTGGAGGTGTGCCCTTCATCCAATATATATATGGACTTTCTGGCAAAGCTCACTTGCTTGCTCTGGATCCTGCATCTGACTCGTCATCCTGTAACCTCTGGTTCTTGGATGTGAGCCACCAGCCTGCTGCTTGACCTACAGATCTTGGAATTCGTCAGCTCCTGGAACCCCGTGAGTCAACAGACTTCTGCCTGACCTGCAGCTCTTAGGATTCGTCAGCTTCCACAGCCCTGTGAGGCAGCAGCCTGCAGTCTGACTACTGATTCTGGGATTCGTCAGCTTTTGCAGCTCTGTGGACCAAGAGCTCATCATCTGACCTGCCAATCTTGGGTCCATCAGCTTCCGCAATCATGTGAATCAGGAGATGCCTCCAGCCTGATGCCTGACCTACGGATTTGGGACTTGCCAGTCTCCACAGCAGTGTGAGCCATTTCCCTGAGATAAATCAATCTCTATGTATTTATATATATGCTTCACTTGTTTTGCTTGTCTAGAAAACCCAGCTGAAGACATATGGATATACCATAATTTGTTTATTTTTTCACCAGTTTTTTGTTTATTCATTCACCAGTTTTTGGCTACAATGAATAGAGCTGCTATGAATATTTGTGAACAAGTTTTTGAGTGAATAAACATTTTTCTTTCTTCTGAGTAAATGGAATTAAAAGGTCATATGGTAAAAACCAAAAGAGTGTTTCATCCAGTCTGACTCATGGAGACCCCATGTGTTACAGAGCATAGGGTTTTCTTTGCTGTAATCTTCAAGGAATGAGACTGCCAGGCCTTTCTCTTACTGCAAGACTGGATTTGAACTGCCAGCCTTTAGGTTAGTGTTGTTAGGTGCTGTCGAGTCGGTTCTGACTCATAGCGACCCCGTCTACAACAGAACGAGACACTGCCTAGTCCTTTACGTTAGTAGTCTAGCACAAAACATTTGTACCACCCAGGGATCTGGTCATATGATAAGTATATGAATACTGCTACAAGAAATTGAGTTTATTTCCTATCCATATCTCTTTGGCAACATGTCTATTCAAATCCTTTGCTCATTTTTCTAATTGAGTTACTTATCTCATTCTTGAAGAGCTCTTTACATAGTATATTTGAATTCTTTATGTATTATATATCAAGTTCTTTATTACCTTTTTGAAATAGTTTCTCCTTGTCTGTAACTTGTATTTTTATTTTATTGTTTTTTGAAGAGCTACAGTTTTTAATTTTAATGAGTCCGATTCATCAAATTTTTCTTTTAAATAATTTGTGCTTATTTTTAGTCCAATTTAAGGTATTTTTGTTTAACCCGTTTATAAAAATTTGCTCATGTGTTATATTCTAGAGATGTTGTAGTTTACACTCTTACATTTGTGTTTTTTCCAGTTCAAGTTAGTTATTGTTTATTGTGTGAGTTAAGGGTGTTTTTGTTGTTGCTGTTAGGTGCCATCAATACGGTTTTGACTTA